TTCCATATATGACACATAAATAATTAACATAAAAATTTGAAAACAGCATTTAAAATAGCTTGAAATATGAATTAATCAGAATAAATGTAACTAGTGGAGCATGTAATTTTACTAAAATTTGATGATGATTTACTGAGAGGTATCATATTTAAATAGTCACATCATTTATAGGAAAGGTCTCACTGTTAAACAGTAGGTCACAGCACAGTATTCTCAGTAAATATGTTGTTATATTTGGATGTCCAAATGGAAAATAATCAAAAGCATTTTCACCCCCTACATGATATACAAAAATTTCTTCCTGGTAGATCATTGTTCACAATGTGACAGAAACATCCATAAAGCTTCCTCAGGTCATACAGAAGAATGTCCTCAAGAGTTGGTGGTAGCAAAGGATGACTTAAACATGATGTAAAAGGATAAGCCAACAAAGAAAAAAATAAGTTAACATAAGTTGAAACTCAGAAATCCTGAATCCCCTCTAGCACTAACCTCAGAGGATGATAATTTATCTGTTTACTGCTGAAGACCAGCCAGGAGAGAGCACATTGGGAAGACAAGGACAATGGAAATACAGCTGTCCATGAAAGCCAGTGGCACATCCAGTCTCTTGTTCTGTAAAACAGTGCAGCAGGAGGGACTTGGCTTTCATGGAACATCGGTGAGTCAATCATTTTTTACTTTCATGGCTTCCTTGTTAAGGTTTCAAAGGAAATTGAGCTCCAGTGTCCTAGGCATTAGTCTAGTGGTCCAAATCAACTGGAGGGTGTGAGCGTGTGACTCTCGTTCCTCGGTGTCTGACTCAGCATGTCTTGAGTGGGCTCCAAGGTTCCCAGTGATGTGACATGGCTGGCTACTTGGCCGTTGGGAGAAGTACTGCTGTGAAGCCTGCATTACGTGGAACACAGTGCCCGGAGCAAATTAATAAACTCCTCTCCTATGTGTTCTGGTAACTTGGTATAATCCTTGGGAGAGCTGAGAAAAGTCTTTCAAATTATTTTCTGTTTGCTGCAGATCAGGTGAGATACTTTACTTGTGAACACTTTTAAGAGCAACCAAGAACTCTCTTGTTCTCCATGCTCAGATATCAAGTATCTACTCAATATGGCTACATGGATTTGTAACAGACGTCTCAGAAAGAATGTGCCCCAAGCTGACCTTCCCCATGGCTTTCCTTATCACCTCCGGGGACCCAGTACATCTCACATGTTTTTCAGTTGTTCAGGCCTCAAACCTTGTAATTGAATTTAATTTTGTTCTTTGGCTCAAAGCCCACATACACTGAGTCAGACTATTTAATTGGCCTCTCTGCTTGCACCCTATAGTCACTCCCAGTCCTCTGTGCAAGCCTCCTCTGGCTTTCTTTCCATCTCACTCAAAAGAAAACACCACGTCTGACCCCCACTCACTGGGATGCCCCTGGTGTTTTCCTCTCCAGGCCTGGTGCCTGGTCTCTGTCCCCAGAAGGCACAGCTGCACCCAGCTACGGGAATCTTTGCACTTCCCGGAATGCACGTCCCCTCCTTTCCCTGCTGGCTGCCCCAGGAGACATCCTGGTGACTTTTACTTCCTACCTAAGACACATCCTCCCCTTGCCTCCAGCACCACTTCTTTCTTTTCTCCTGGGCTTTATTTTTCCCTCCGCGCCATCACCTGTCATGTATTGTATTTGTTTATTTTTTGACTCCTGCCACCAGAATAACGTTGTGTGTCCTAGTCAGCTTTCCACCATGTGACCAAGAACAGTGAACAACTGACAGAACAACTGAAAGGCAGGGAAGCTGACTTTGGCTCACAGCTCCAGAGGGTTAGCCCTTTGCTCTGGCCCCAAGGTGAGGCGGAGCATCTTGGTGGCAGGGCGAGGTGCAGACCTGCTCCGTTCACGGCAGCCAGCCAGCAGAGAGAGGGGAAGCAAGGAAGGGGCTGTAGGGAGGATGCGCCCTTCCTGGGCAGCCCCCACGGCCCACCTGCATACAGTTCCTACCCACTCAGTCCACCGAGCTAGGATGGACGGCTTAGCTCACCGCTCCCACAGTCCCCCTCTGAACCTCTCTGCATTAGTACAGGGGATTCTGACACCTCACATGCAAACCAAAACATCACTGGAGCAAGGATGTTTTTCTTTACCTTTTTTCCACACCTAGAACTCTTCTGGCACGTGGTAGGTTCTCAATTAATAGGTCTATTTATTTATTTATTTATTTTTCTGGGGGTTGAGCCCTGGGCCTTGTGGATGCTCGGCAAGCACTCTACCAGCTGAGTTGTATCCCCAACCCCAACAGGTTTCTGAATAGATGAATTGTACAGATGGAAAGGCCGAGGCTCAGGACGTATCCAGTACTCATTGGAGCTGGTGGGAACAGAACTTCCCAAATCCAACCTCTCCAAATCCCACTTCTCCGAACCCCAAACTGGATTCCTCCTATTAAGCCCACATAGATTTGAGGCTCCTCCGCCTTCAGGAAAGCAGTATGACCTCTGCCTGAACCCAGAGAACTGGGGCTTAAAATAACAGCAGTCACGACCTTCCCTGGACCTTCTTCCTTCCTGCAAGGCCTGCTCTTGTTCCCAGAGCCATTCCCCAGAGGACACCAGCAGGGTGGCGAGTACTTGAGGGTCCCTGGGAAGACCAGAGCTTGCATTCCTTAGAATGTGGAAGGAGCCCAGTCCAGGGCCTGTCTCAGGGGTGAGAGGAAGTGGCTGGCCTGGCTGGCGTTTTCAGAAGGCGGGGTCACGAGAGTCGTGTCACTGCTTGGCCCCGTGTGCAACTCACTAGTGGGATGTTGCTGGCCAGGGCACCCTGTGCACACGTCACTGGGTCCAGCATGGGTCCTGCCGGCACGCCCTCCCTGCTGTGTCCCTCACAGTCACGGGCTCCTTCACTCCACACCTATTCATGGCACCGTTGCTATCTCCTTGACCCTGTGCTAGGTGAGAGCTGCTGGTGAATGATGCACAAGGTGAATGTGACACTTGACCTCAAAAACTTGAAAGAAACCGGTAACTGTACCCCAGATAGGTGACATTTGTTCACTATGATGTAGGCCATAGAAGAATCAGAAGTCAAGGGAGTAACCAGGTCCAGAGACTCCAGCTTGATTCTCACCCTCTTGTATAGACTAGGAAATAGAAGCGGAGGGACTGTCCCCTTGGCGTCCTTGGAGAGTGTTGGTGATCACATCATGGTGCCTCTGTCCTCTGGTGTAAGGATGTATTGTGTGACTAGCTCTACTCAAAAACTGTTCTTTTTTTTTTTTTTGCAGTTTCCAAAGTGAATACTCTCTCATCTCTAATAATCTGCTGAGGATCATAAATGCATATAGCACACACAGCGGATGAATGTTGATGCTTGCAATATAACAGGCAAATTATTCTTAGTGCTGCTGTAGACCCTCAAGAGACACTGCCCATTGATGCTGGGAGAGAGGGCGGTTCTGCTGAAATTCCTCCAGCCTCTCGGCACCCAGAGGCCTCCTTCCCAGGCAGCCCTGGGCTGTACATTCCCATGTGCGGCGGAGCGCTGAGGTTTGCCGTAGCAAGTCCATCTCCACCAGCGAACCAGCTGGGTCCCCAGTGGACGCTCATGCTGTGACTCCCCCTTCCCGACACACCCCCCCCACATCTGGTTGGGAACAAGGAAAACTCGAGCCCAGGGCATTCCAAGGCTTCTCCTCGGTCGCAGCGCTAAGCGCCGGCTGGTTTCTTCTCGGGTTTTTGCAGGTGAGAAACGGAGCCTTCTTCACCTTGGCCTCCTTCTGCCAGGTAGGACTTGTCATGAGCTGCCACCGAATCATCTCTCACTGATTTGCGGGGGGCAGTTTTTGAGGAAAGGGCTTCGGTGATTCATCACCACGTCCCAAGCCCCTGGACTGAGACCCAACACACGAATGTCCCTTAAAAATACCTGAGAAGCCATCCGGCAGGGGAGACCCAGGGGGACCTGGCCTGGGCCGAGCGCACGTGTGCGCTGTGCAGGGCCTCCCGGGGCTCTCCACGCCGTCCAGGTCTCCCCGGAAGCTGTGACTATTTTTCTGGGTGGCAAGCCAGCCGAGCCTTAGGAGTTTTCTTTAATCCATGGAAATGCAGCAGATGGACACTGTGACCCTCATGAGCCTCTTAGTCATGTGAAGTCAGAGACGGTCACATAAACCATCACGGTGTGTATCCTCATTCTCCCAAGGGATCTGTTTTCCAGGCGGAAAAGGAGGACTGACTGACGTGTGTTCAATGTGAAGGTCCGTTGGAGCCACCCCAGCTCCGTGTTGAGAAGATTCCCAGGCCACACGTGAGCTCTGTTGGAAGCCGTGTCACGGCCCATGTTGGATAAGGGGGTGCGGAGAGCGGGAGGAGGCACAGCAGGGTGACCTTGTGGGATCTGGGAATGGCTGCTCTCCCTGGAGCTTTCAGTGAGCCGGTGCCTAGCACCCCACCTGCTCTTCCCTGAACCCCCTGGCTCCGTGGCTCCGAGTCCACCTGGTTCTCCTTTCCCACTGCCTTTTATAATCCGACCTCCTCCTGAAACTAAAAGAGCACGTGTCAAGATAGCCCAGACTTCAAGGCCACGTTAAAGATGAGTCTCTCTGAAGGGAGCACCCTGCTAGAGCAAAGCAAAGACCATCAACAGTGAACAGCAAAGCCTGACTGAACCTGGGTAACTGCTGTGGGCAAGCACGGGTGACTCCCCAACCTCTCTCTCACCTTCCCTCCCTTTTTATCTTTCTTTTTGTTAGAATGAGAACCCAGTGGCTCTTTGATAGGAATGAATATTAACATATTTGAAATTTTTAAGTAGAGTCAAATGAAGTCTAATTTCCATTTGAATTTAGAGCAGGCACAGCTAAACCTACAAAATATTAATTAAAATGTCTTTATGTTTTTATAATATGTAAAAGTATATCTATGCATTTGATTAATATATGTAAGAAGCAATGATGTTCACAAGCAGTCGACCCCATGAAGAATACTTTGGAGGTCAATTTAGAAATGATGAAGATGGTATAGTCGCCATCCTCCCTAGTGATCCTCACCCACTGGTATTGGCGTCCTGTGTGGTCACCTCATAGGGTGCATCAGAGCTGGGTGTGTGGCCCAGGGTGGGTGGTAGAGGTGACAGTGTGTGGCTTGCCAGGCCAGGTCATTGCAGGCAAGTGGCTTCCTCCTTGTACTCGTGAACACTTGATAACATCGCATTTGGAGCCCTGCGCCTTGTGGGAGGTGTGTAGTCTCCCCAGGGGCAGCAGCAGGTAGAGGATCAGCTGTCCAAATGACTATGGGCCTGGGTCTTAGGGAGGAAGAGGGTCCATGCCAACGGTGGGTGAGCTGGCAGGGAAACCAGACTCTGGGAAGCACAGGGAGAGGCCTCCCAGGAACGGGGGGAGTGGCATGTCCATCTGTCCCAATAACACAACAGGCAAGCAAGGGAAGCCCGAGGCGGGGTGGGCCCTGCCCCTGGTGTGCTGGGTCTGTGGTTGGGAGAGGTGAATCCAAATGGGCCACGTCTCGCCGGGAATCTGTGTCTCTCAGGAGCTGACAGCAGCGTCTCCATGCCTATCCCATGCCACCCCCTCTGCATCTTGTGGGGACCGACTTGGGTTGAGGCCAGCTTCCCAGGGTCTGTCAGTAGGCCCACTGCACCCTCCCCAGCTCAGTGGCAGGGTGGCACGGGGGCCTGCGCTCAAACACAGTCTTCAGTGGAAGAGCCAAGTCTTCAGTGGAAAAAAACAATACTAAGATGAGATCCTGAAAATCAACTAATTGTCGGGAAAATAAACAAGGACACAAACGACTCCCAATACCATTCAGCCCAGTGTGTGACGAATAGCCAAGTATCGGACTGGCTGATGTCTTTGCCATTTTGCACCATCTGATGCATTCGGATCTTTGTAAAACTCAAAACAAAACAAGCTATCAAAAGGATAGGTATTGATTTCATTGAGATTTCCACTAATGCTTTTAATTAAATTGACAGTGATGTAAATGGCACGATGTGTTTTGGCGTTATTAGGCCATCTTTTCACTAGGTGTATTTTGCACCATAATTGTATGAGTCATGGAGGATCCTTTCATTTTATAGATGTAGAACCAAGAGTCAGGGACATCCGCGTGGTAGCTCAGGTTGAGCACTGAACAACAGCAGGGAGTGCCCTGCCCATCTTAATGAATCATGTGGCTGCTGGAGCCCTTGTTGATCTTTCATCAAAGCCCTTCTTTTTTTTTTTTCAGAGTCAGATGTCCTGCTGTTTTTTTGTTTCTTTCACAATGTGCTTTTCATTGAAAAGAAGGTGAACCTGGGGTTCAGAGAGAAACAACAGAACTTTTGAAAACTCTTCCATGGAAGAAAGGAGACCTAATGAGAAGGTGGGTGTGCGGGGAGGGCCGTGTGGGTGCAGGGAGCAGGGAGCCACAGGTGTCTGAGCTAGAAGGGGTCTGTGTTGGACAGGCTGGGGACAGGGGAACGCTCCTGGTGTCATGGGGGATCTCACCCCGGCAGCTGCAAGAGCAGGTGCAGCGTCTGAGATCTGGAATCTCTTTGTCTGATGTCAGGTTGTGTCCGGACATTTGTTTCAGGTCATCCCTGGTGACAAGGACCCCACAAGTGTGCAACAAAGAATGAGGAGAGGAAATACGGCAGCCGGTGAGGGGACATCTGTGCTGGCATTGGAGGGGTCCAGGCGGGTGCTGGGGCGCTCGGGCGTCTTCAGGCCACCGTCCAGGGGCCTGCCTTCCGCAGGGCGGTGGAGGTGCAGGGAGCCCGCTGCCTCCCAGGGAGCTGGTGGAGTGGCCAAAGGACAGCCTGGACTCCCCGGCAACCCATCTGTGGCAGAAAAACCCTTGGGGTCTTGTGCAGCGTGGGGCAGCCCCTTGAATGAGGCGGCCCCCTGGCCTCACCCCACGGAGCAGCAGTCGGTGCTGGACCTAGAACACTAGTGACCCTGGGGGTCCAGGATTCTTCCCAGTGACTAGCGCTGCCCACCCGCAGGCCCCTCACACAGCCGCCGTTTACAGTCGGCAGGGGATTCGCTTCTGGGGGCCCAGGGTGCCTGGGGGCTGAGCCTCAGGGAGAAAAGATGGCAGCGCAGGGCGAGGGACTCACCCTGAGTAACCTTCACCCCGGGCAGACTCAGACCTGGGCCCCCCGCCGGCCACCGCAAGGCCTCCTTAGTTTCCTTTCCCTCTTTCCCCCCCTTCAGTTCTGGGCCCTGAATCCAGGGCCTCCTGCACCCCAGGGGAGCGCCTTCCCCCTGAGCCATATCCCCGTCCCCCACCTTTTCCTTCTGTTAGAAATAATCTTCTTCCTTCCTTTATTTCCTCCCTCTCTCTCTTCCCTTTTCTTTATTATTCTTTAAGTCTTGCAGGTGAGTGCTTCCTTATTGGTCTGGAGCATTTTAACACCTACGGGTGAAAGCCTATGGGTCCCGCTGTGTTGAATGATCCTGGATCTATGTCCTGTCGGATTTGCTGAAGTCAGTGGGATCTGACAGATACCAACAGCAAGAGCTTCCTTCATCTTCCATTCACCCACCGCCCAGGAGGCCACGCGCCCACACGGTCCCAAGCTTCCACGGGGGTCCAGGGGCCTGGGGACCTTACCCTGCTCAGCAGACGAGGAAACTGACCGTTGTGCTCCTGACTGCTCCCCTTCCCTGTGCCAAGAGCCGTAGGGCGAGGGTCTCAGGAAAGCCCTGGGAAGCCCCTCTCAGGGACCACGTGGGGAAGCTGGGCTCTGCAGGGCTCAGGGTGTGGTCTTAGTGTGCAGCTGGAAGGCCTCCTTACAGGGCCAGCAAGACTGGGACAAGGCCAGGCAGGTCCTCTGATCCGTGCTCCCTAGTGCTAGCGCTTCGTCTGGGCCAGCAATCCCAGATCCCATTAGGGCCTCAATTTTATGGTGAACTTGAAACCTGAGAACTTAAAACTTGCCCAAGGACTTAAATCTGGTAAATGGCAGTTCAGGCTTAGACCCAGGATTCCTGGCCTAGAGGGCAAGTTTGTAAACCACTGTGTGCAGAGAGCGGGGAGCATCCCGTCCTCACACCTGCTGAGTGTGGAACTCACCTGGCCTAGGGTTGGTCTGCGTCCCCAGGTCACATGTAGATGGCATGTGGCAGGATGAGCAGGTTTAAGTGCACTTAGGAGGGTGTCACTTGACCCAGAGATGACCAGGGCCTCTCTCCAGATTCTGTAAGTGCAGCCTTGGGGAAGCAAGTCAAGGTGCTAGTTGTTCTTTCTCTAATAGACACCCAAAGAAGGAGGGGATGGCTTTATAAAAAAAAAAAAGTAAGTTGGATCTGAATATATCAGGTCTTAACCCCTGGGGATTGTCACTGTTTCTTCCTATGATGAAGTATTGCAGATGTGATTCAATTAAAATGGTTATGATGAGAAATTACCCTGGGTTATCAGGTTATCTTAAACACGGTGGCAAACGAGTTCTGCAGAGAGAGGTGGGGGGGTGGGGGAGGCACAGAGGGGCGACCTGTGAAGCTGGAGGGGGAAGTCAGGGAGCCTCAGGCCAGGGAGGCAGCAGCCTCACTAAGAACTGAAGGGCAGAGGCGAGGAGGGGATGCGAGCTCTCCGGAGCCTCTGGAGGGAGTGTGGGCCTCCTGGCATCTTGACCTCAGCCCAGTGCTACTGGTTTTGAACTCCTGAGCTCCAGAACTGTGAGAGAGTAGACTTCCGTTCTTTTAAGTCAAGAAGTCGTGGTTTGTCACAGCAGCCCCCACAAAGCTAATAGGAACTCCCACGCTGCAGGCGCAGAAGGATCAGGCTAGGTTCCAGGGACACACTCTCCTCTGGCCAGGCTCCATGCCTACCTACTGATGCCATCTACGCAGCCAGCAGTCACAGAGAGAGGGACGGGCTTCC